TACATGTGTGCAGGCCTGCATACGTGCATTTGTGTGTGTGTGTGTGTGTGTGTGTGTGTGTGTGTGTGTGTGTGTGTTGATAAAGAGCCAACCCAGGGAGTTGTACGTGCTAGACTAGCACTGTACCAATGAACTATGTCTCCCAAGCATATACTTATTCTTCTGATGCCCAAATTATCTCAAACCTGGAATTAGATATTTCTCCCAAGAGATAGGATTCCTTTGATGTGGGATGGTGTTGAAAACAAAGACTGGAAGCAGGTATGTTTGCTGTTTTGTGTGTGTGTGTTTGGCGGGGGAGAAGTGCTTCTTTCTGTCAGTTATTAGTAAGCTGGATACAGACTTTTTTAAAAAAATTATGAATTCATAATGGCATTTTCTTTCTACCTTTTTTATGGTGTTGCAATTGAACCCAGGGCCTCAAGAGTGCTAGACAAGTACTCTACCACTGAGCTGTTTCCCCAGCCCTACCATTAAGCTGGCAGTAATTTTTGTGTTTATCGGCTTTTCTTAACATCTTATAGCGCTTACGTTTTCTGACAGTGAAAATCTTGGCTCCCTGTTAGGATCATTAATATAATTGCTTATTTACATTACTCTCTCATACACATGAAATTGTCTCAAAAATTCCAGTACTAATACTTCCACCAATAACACAGCCACTGTGTAAAGTTTAAGATTCCCTTACAATATACTTTTGGTTGTTTTCTTTTATCCCATTGCGACGGGCAGCCTGAATACCATGTGCTAATGTCACTTGAAATGACTCTTCCCTCTGGGCGTTCTTCTTTGAGATCTGTTGCACAGTGAGACTCATTTGTTTCTGTTTTGCTTCTTCTAATAAGGCCTGCTTGGTTCTCTTTTGGAGTTTAACATTGCATTTTGCCCAGATCTGACATTTGCATGGTACCAAAATCAATCCATAGAACAGCAATATCCCCCAGGGTCTTGTTCCCAGCCCTTTTCCACAGGCCGTTTCTCCCGCCCCTTTGTGAGAAACCTTGCTTATTTTATTTTTAAGTCTAGCTTTTGACTTACCTTTTGTATCAGTTACAAAAGCAATATAAGCAAGGGAGAATTTCTTTTTTCTCACAGTTTGAGGGTACAATCCATCATGGCAGGAAGGCATGGTGTGTAGGTGGAAGTTTCTGTCCTGCAAGTGGCTTCCAAGTAACCACACAAAAGCTTAATATTAATTATAAATGCTCAGCTAGTAGTTCAGGCTGGTTATTAGCTAACTCTTACATTTTCAATTAACTTTTTTTTTGTTTGTTTTTTGTTTTTTTGTTTTTTTGTTTTTCAAGACAGGGTTTCTCTGTGGCTTTGGAGGCTGCCCTGGCTCTTGTAGACCAGGCTGGTCTCTGCCTCCTGAGTGCTGGCATTAAAGGAGTGCGCCACCACCACCTGGCTTAACACATATTGTTATCTAAGCTTTTCCACATGGCTTGGTACCTTTTCTCAGTATGGCATGCCCATCTTGTTTCTCTCTGCATCTCTTAGCCACTCTCGTGACTCTGCCCTTTTTCCCAGCATTCTCTTAGTCTGTTACTCCTGTCTAACCTTATCTTGCCTACCTATTGGCCAGTCAGCTTTATTAAACCAGTCACAGTGACATATATTCACACAATGTAAAGGAATATTCCACAGTGGTAGAAGGAACACGAGGCAGCTGGTCATGTTGTCTTTACAGGTAGGAAGCAAAGCAAGATGAATCCTGTCATGGACCCCACCCACAGTCAGGCTGGATCTTCACTGTTCAGTTAAACATCCCTGGAAATGTCCCTACACACACACATACAACACACACACACACACACACACCCACACACACACACACAACACACACACACACACACACACACACACACACACACACACACACACACACACACACACCACACAGATATGTCTCCTCAGTGATTCTGAATGCTACCAAGTTGACAATCAGACTTAACCATCAACGCTTCTAGTATCAACCTGTTCCTCTACGGGAATGCTTGCCCTTATGGTTTTCAAAAGCTGCATCATTTAGATGCCAGTCTGGGTCCTGCCCACTCCATGGAATCTTTCACTAAACTTGGGTCCCTATCGAGTCCTTTCTCCCCATTGGGTCTGAAACATGCTGGTCTGCATCCCATTGTCTCCGCCTTGCATCTAGAGTCTTTTTTTTTTTTTTCCGAGACAGGGTTTCTCTGTATTGCTTTGAAGGTTGTCCTGGAACTCACTCTGTAGATCAGGCTGGCCTCAAACTCACAGAGATCCACTTGCCTTTGCCTCCCGAGTGCTGGGATTAAAGGCATGAGCCATCAACGCCCGGCTAGGTCTAGAATCTTACATGTCTGCTCTTGTCCACTGTTGCTCTTTAAGCTACTCCACCCCTGCCTGCTTTCTTTACATGACTTTTCTTTTTAAATTTATTTATGTGTATGAATATTTTGCCTGCATGTATGTATGTGCACCATGTGTGTGCTTTGTGCCTTCAGAGGCCAGAAGAGGGCATTGGATCTTCTGGAGTTACAGATGGTTGTGAACCACCATGTGGGTTCTGGGAACCAAACTCTAGACCCCTACAAGAACAGCACGTGCTTTTAACTGCTGAATCATCTCTCTAGTCCCTAGTTTTGTCCTCTAACCAGGTTGAATGTTCCTTGAGGGTTGGGGCATACCTAGATTTTTTTTTAATCTTATCCTATTTTATTTATTCATATGGGGAGTGAGCACATGTATCCAATGGCGCAAGTATGGAAGTCACAGGACAGTTAACTTGTGGGAGTTGGTTCTCTTTTTCCATCTTGTGGGTCCTAGGAGTTGAACTTAGATTTTTGGTTTGGCAGCAAGCACCTTTAACTACTGAACCATTTCACTGACCCCAGGCCTAGAATTCTTTTTTTCTTTTTTTTTTTTTTTTTTTTTTTTTTTTTTTTTTGGTTTTCCAGACAGGGTTTCTCTGTATAACAGAAAGGTTAAAGGACACTTACTAATAGTCTCAGAGCTGTCCTGGAACTTGCTTTGTAGACCAGGCTGGCCTCTGAACTCACAGAGATCTACCTGTCCCTGCCTCCCAAGTACTGGGATTAAAGGTGTGCACCACCACCACCCAACCTATGGTTTTCAAAGAGCATGTTTATATTACAGTGTATTTATCTTGTGTACATATTTGGGGTTGGTGTTACATGCCTGACATTCTACACATAGAGGTCAGAGGACAACTTGTAGGAATTGATTCTGTTCTCCACCACGGAGTCCCAGAAATTGAACTCAAGTCATCAGCCTTGGTGGCATGCACCTTTACCCTCTGAGCCATCTTGCTTGCCCTAGAATTCTTTTATATTCCCTATATAAAGTAGGCATGAGTACACAATCATATGTCATAGAGCCAGGCAGTTCTCCCTGTTAGCAGTGGTTGCATTTTGCATGGTCACAGCAAACAGCAGATACTGAAACCTTATTCTGACTGGAAATACAGCATTGCATTCTTGTGAGACCCTGGATGCAACATTTTTTATCAGTCGGTCAATTCATAACCTTGTTTTATGTGTGACTCTGCTTAAAGACACCGTGTTTGTTTAATACAAACTTCTGAGTCATTAGCGCTGAGCTCAGCCAACTGCACTATAACTCATTCCTGAACAGCTCTGGGAACATGTACATCTCTGTGAGGCACATTGCAGCTCTCTTGAACATATGAACGCTAGACAGCACTTAGCACTTCACTGCGGCGGGGAGGGGGGGATCATTGCCCACAGTGAAATCACCCACAAAAATAGCAAAAGTCAAAGCAGTGGAGCTCAACAGAGAGGTCAAAGGACACTTACTAATCATCTCAGAGCTGAAACAGGACGGCAGAATGGTTTTGTCTGACCTCAACAAGGAATGTGTGCATTGGAGCAGGCTCCCGTGTGTGTTTGTGTGTGTGTGTGTGTGTGTGTGTGTGTGTGTGTGTACACGCATGCATGTGTGTATATTGTTTGCATGTGTGTGTGTGTGCAGCTATTTGTGTATGTGGAGGCCATAAATAGATATATCTTTTTGGATTGGTGTCTTTCTGGATTGCTCTCTACCTTACCAAAAAACAGTTTTTCTTACATTTGTTTTGTGTATGTGTGTGGGCACCCTTGTGCCATGGTGTTCACATGGAAGTCAGAGGGCAGCTTTGGGGACTCAGTTCTCTCCTGCCCCCAGTCTGAGTCTTGAGGATTGAACTCAGATCACCAGGCTTGGTGGGAATATATTTACCTACTAGACAATCAATCGGGTCCCAACTGATTGTTTTGAAACAGGATCTCTCACCAAACCTGGAGCCCACTTCTTCAGAAAGGCTAGAAGGCTGGCCATGGAGCTCAGGGAATCCTCCTGTCTCCACTTCCCTCACTCTAGGATGCAGATGCTTGTTGTTATGCTAGGTTTTTACACGGGTGCTGGGAACTTGAGCCCGGGTTCATGCATCAAGCACTTTATTGGCTAGCTGTCTTCCTGGCCCTGCAACTCGTATTTTTATTAGTCTATTTCTTTTTCTAGAGTTTTTTAATTTTTAATTTTGTGTATGTGTATCTGTGTGGGAGTAGTTGCACATGGGGGCAATTGCCCATGGAAGCCAGAAGAGGTGTTGGATCTCCTCCGGCTGCAGTTACAGGCTGCCCAACATGGGTGCTGGAACTGAACTCTGCTCCTTTGCAAGAGCAGTTTGTCCTTTTAATTGCTAAATCCTCTCCTGCATGTCTGTTTCTATCCATGGGTGATTCTAACCAGGCTCAAATATTGATTTTGAGGTTCAAAAACTCCCTGAAGCGAGTGACTTTGACATACAGAATCTGTAAATAAAGACGATTGGCCCTGTCAATCTGAGTTAACCTGGGACTAGTTTCCTTCCCAGGCTTCATTTTCCTTGCACACCATGGGCGATTTTTACAGTTTTCTCAGGGCTATCATTCCAGTCCCCGAGCGAGTCCTTTGGCTTCCTGTAGCTGGCCAGGTTCTGAGCTGGTTGCCTTCCCTTGCAGGTTTGTGGACTTCCATGCAGCCGCTTCCACCTGCTCTCCTTCCCGAGCCTCTTTGCTTACTGGCCGGCTAGGCCTACGCAATGGAGTCACCCACAACTTTGCCGTCACCTCTGTCGGGGGGCTTCCACTAAATGAGACCACCTTGGCCGAGGTGCTGCAGCAGGCTGGCTATGTCACTGCCATGATAGGTAATGTACTCTGGGGAGTTGCTTCAAGATCTCAGGGTCTCTGGATGGCTGCTGCCTTGTCTGCTCGCTTCTGCGCTTTTGTTGGTTTCTTGCTGGGTACGTACGGTAGGGATGTCCTCAGCTTGCTGTCCATAACCAGGAAGGCCCCACAGTGTCTGAGAATGCGTATAGAGCTCTTTCCTCCCATGATAATAAGCTTCGTGGTAAGTGATTGCATCCATTAGGTCAGACGCTCAAAGATGCCGTTGGGAGCTTTTCCAGATTCTTCTGCTATCCTGAGCATGTGGCTTTTGTGCGTGTGCCTGTGGCTGCAGGGCCTCAGCTTTGGGGTCCTCTACTGTAATTAGGTTCAAGGAGGGGGAGGGGAAGAGAATGAATGGGTCCCAGCCTCGTGCACCCACCCACTCTTACCAAGAAATGGAATCTTTTGTTTAAGATAAGAATCCGTCCTTCCCAAGAACTGGGCTTAAATGGTACCGTTCAGGGTTGGGTAACATGGCTACGAGGTTGTAAAGAAGGCTGGGAAACTGGGGACAGGATTATAATAATTGACTTGGCCTGGGCATGATCATCTAGAACAAACTGATGGCTCCAGGCTAGGGGTGAGCACTAGGTAAAGTACCTACCCAGAATGCACAGTGCACTGGGTGCTGTCTCTATAGCAAACAGTCCTAACCTTACCCCACCCCGCCAAACTGCAAAATGTTATTAGAATGAAGACATGCATATAGGCTAGGAAAACAGCAGCCAATTCCCCGCTGTTCGAACGCTTCTTCCCCTCCCTCTCTTCCTTGTTTCCTTCCTCTCTTCCTCTCTGTTTTGTTTTCTGAAACAGAGTCTCATGTGTTCCAAGACAGCCTCAAACTCATTATATAGCTGAGGATGACAACGATCTGCTGGAATTTTAGGCCTGTACCACCATGTCCCGTATTACATGGTCCTGGGGATGGGACCCAGGGCTTCACGTATGCTAGGCAAGCACTCTACCAACTGCATCCCTAGCCCTATTTGTTTCTGAAACAGGGTCTTACTATGTAGCCCAGGCTGGTCAAACATACAGTCGTGTTTGCAGCCTCAGTGTGCTGGAATTCCAGGTTTCCTTTCCTTGTGTCTGTATTTTAAGGGACCTCTTACTCACCGTGAACTGTGTTCTGACCCTGGGATGCGTTCATTTACATAGGATTATTATTCTCCTATCGTAGAGCAAGAAAACTAGGTCTTGAACCTGAGGATACCTGCTTCACATTCCTGCCTGAGACAGGTGGTGTCCTTGTCATCACAGAATCTGACCTCAGATGCTGGGGCCTCCCCTGCCTGTCTTTCTTGCAGATTCGGAGACCACCCAGCAGTTCCTGCAGCCTCCTTAGCCTGTTTGTGCTTGTTTACTTTCAAAGATCTGGTTCCAGTGGGATTCCTGTTTCTACCATAGTGAAATGGCAAGGGAGGGTGTGCCAACAGACATGTGACAGTGAGGGTCCCTGTGGATGAGTCTCTGGTCTCCGGAGCCTTCTTTCTGTGTTAGCTTGGAGGAGGTTTCTTAACACAGACCAAGGGCTGGCATCTCTGGTGTTTCCTTCTCCACTCTGAGTTCAAAGACTTTGCATTCTTTTATAGGCACAAGTGCAGGATGACCTCCGTTGTCTCAGAAGGAGATGCCCCGGTCAGCAGAAGAAGAGTCCAGTTAAAGATTATTTTCTCTTCCTCGCTTCCTGTGTGGCTAGTTTTATGTCAAGCTGACACAGGCTAAAGTCATCTGAAAAGAGGGAACCTCAATTGAGAAAATGCCTCTGGAAGATACAGCTATAGGGCATTTTCTTAATTAGTAATTGGTGGGGGAAGGACAAGCCTATTGTGGGTGGGGCCATCCCTGGGCTGGTGGCCCTAGGTTCTATAAGAAAGCAGGCTGAGCAAACTCGAGGAGCAAGCCAGTAGGCAGCACTTTCCTTGCATCAGCTTCTGCTTCCAGGTTTCTGCCAAGCTTGAGTTCCTATCCTGTCTTCCTTCAGTGATAAACAGTGATGTGGAAGTGTAAAACAAACAAACTCTTTCCTCCCCAAGTTGCTTTTGGTCATGGGGTTTCATCACAGCAGGAGGAACCCTGACTAGGATACTCCTCCCGGCTCCTGCTCCTACCCTGAGGTGTAATTATGCTGACATCAGTACCAAGAGGGCACATGAAGCTCCCACTGGGGGTTGCCTGTTAGATAGACTTACTAGATACGTCCATTTAATCCCTGGAGCCAGGGCGGATTTGGTCTCTGGACTGCCTGATGTTAGAGCCTTATACAAAGCAGGGGGCTGGGCTCTTCTTCATTTGCTTTGGAATCATGGCTCCCTTTTGCCTTTAAACACCAAGTAAGCAACAACTGATCACAGGTGTCTGTATAACTTCCCCCTTCCCTTGATCCAAACTTCACCTTTTGTGATCCCTGAATAAGATAAGAACATCTACTTGCTTAGGAATGAAACCCACAAAAGGGCTCTGGGGTCTGTTCACAGTGCTCAACACTGCTTCGGTTCTTCGTCTGTGTTCATGTGATTTTACCCCTTCTCCTTCCTATCATTTTATATTTACAATAATATGTGTATTTGTTTTCAGAAAGACTTGCTGTGTATCCTAGCTTTGAACTCTCATATGTAATGAGGTTCTTTGTCCCAGCTGGTCCCGCTGCCCTTCAGCCCCAAATTAACACACAAAGACATATTAATTATTAAATGTTGGCCGGTGGCTTGGGCTTCTTATTGGCTAGTTCTGTCTTAGTTAGTAACTCATTTCTATTAATCTGTGTGTTTCCATGTGGTCTTGGCTTACTGGAGAACGCCTGGAGCATCCTCTCTTCTACATGACGACTCCGTCTGCCTGTATTTCCCAGAATTCTCATCTCCTAGCCCTGCCTATATTTCCTGCCTGGCCAATCAGCCAATCAGTGTTTTATTCATCAACCAATAAGAGAAATGTATATACAGAAGGCCATCTCCCATTACTTATATAACGTAAGCTGGCCTTAAACATCTGAACTTTCTGTCTCAGTATCTTAGGCACTGTAAATAAATATGTGCCACCATGCCAGGCTCCCTTCATCTCTCCTTCCTTCCTTCCTTCCTTCCTTCCTTCCTTCCTTCCTTCCTTCTTTCCTTCCTTCCTTCTTTCCTTCTCCCTCCCTCCCTTCATTCCTTCCTTCCTTCTTTCTTTCCTTCTCCCTCCCCCTCCTCCTTATCTATCTATCTATCTATCTATCTATCTATCTATCTATCTATCTATCTCTCTCTCTCTCTCTCTCTCTGAGACAGGGTCTTACTATACAGTCCTGACTGGCCTTGAACTCAATGTAGACCAGGCTGACCTGGAACTCCTAGAGATATACCTGCCCCAGTTTTTTGAGTGCTGGTACTAAAGGTGTGCACCACCACACTTATCCTTAATTATTTCTTTAAAATGCTTGTTTTTCAGCTGGGTTTTGGTTTTGGTGGTGGCATACACCTTTAACCCCAATAGAGGCAGGCAGATCTCTGTGAGTTTGAGGTCAGCCTGGTCTACAGAGCTAGTTCCAGGATAGCCAAAGCTATAAAAAGTAACCCCATCTTAAAAAACAAAAAACTTGTTTTTCAGATCCACAAAATAGAGTTGGGCATGACAGTATATAGCTTAGCTCTCAGGAGGTTGAGAGAAGAGATCTCAAATCTGAAGCCAGCCTGGGCTACCTGTCTTAAGAAAACAAAAGAGTTTGTGGTTGCAAGAGGGGGATAAGGGATGAGTACAGGTGCCCATCTAGATTCACTAACTTTATTTTTGCTCTGAGTGTTTTCTTTAAAGGGTAGTTTGGTTGTGTTTTATTAAGGCCACATCAAATAGTTTACTGAGTCACACCCCTGTGTCTGCTTGCTGGCTTCCCTCCTTCACGTTGTCAAAGGTTGCCACAGTTTAGATCTTTGGACTGATTATACATCTCTGGCCCGCTTGCCTTGGCAGCGGTTTCCTGGGATCCAGTCCTTAGAGCAAACAAGCAGATCAGAGATTCTCATATTGTCAGAGCTCTGCCCTGCCTCGTCCAATTATCGCCGCAGAATGAGTGCCCTGGTGGAGCGGGACCTGCAGGTGGCTGAGTTTCTCATTTGCTGCCCTGCGGGTGTCTCAGTGCTAGAGCTACTGGGGGAAGTGGCCTCTCCTGTGGCCTCTGCACACTGCTGACGACATTATCCAGAGACAAAGATCCTGAGGCCGGGCAGGGTGGGGGCCTGCACCCATCTTCATCTTTCACAGGGCATCACAAGTCATGTGCCCCTGGAGGAATAGGCTCAGCTGGGCAGCATCACTGGGCTCCTGGGAAGAGAGGCCATCCCCGGCTCATCTTTCCCATGTGGTCCTGAGTCATCTGGGCCTTGCTTGTCTCCTGTCTCCCTGTAGGGTCTCTTGGGGTCCCAGAGAGCATAGCTCAGCAAGCACACAGGCACTGGAAGGTTCTCTTTGTCCTCACTGAAGTATGAAGGTGTTGAAAACCGAGTATGTGATCAGCTTCTTGAAGAGTCTCCTTGTTTCCACAGCGCCCTATCTGAAAGTCTCTCTCTTTCTCTTTCCACAGGCAAATGGCATCTTGGGCACCATGGCTCTTATCACCCCAATTTTCGTGGTAAGAATCCATTTGCAGTTTGTTCCCCGGGAACCACAAAATAATGTTCCCTGTGTAAAGAACTCCATGAGCATTTGAAGCCCTTGTATCCCCTGGGATATTCTGTTAGGACATTTTTGCTTCAAAAGTCACTTAGGTACATGTGGGGCACCACATCTCTCTTTCTAGAACCTCCCCTGGTATCCTACCTTGTTGTCTGTCTGCCTGAAAATCTAGTTTACTGTGGACCCATCCATCTCCCTCCATCTCCCAGTTCTTTGCACCATATGGAACATTCTGGGAATTCCCGACAGTACAGGTAGAAAGAAGTCTTTAAAAAAAATGATCTGATGGTTTGCTGGGACATGAACCTGTGTTATGGACCCAGATAGAGGAAGCTGCCTCTTGGCCTCCTCCTAAGGATGCAGCTGCTTGCATCCTCAGACCTCTCACCTTTGGAGAAGAAAAGTCAAGATCAGGCTGTCAATTCTCTAATTGCTCAGTGACATACTCTCTTAATGTCAAAATATGGGTGTTCTTTCCAATTTACAGTCTGTGCCTCTGCCTTTTCCCTAGCTTTTCCCTTTGCTTATGGGAATCTGCAGACTGCCCCTTAGAAAGCCATTTACCCTGTCAGGCCCTTGGCCTTACGTCTGTCTGTCTGTCTGTCTGTCTGTCTGTCTGTCTGTCTTCTACCACTTTATACACAAATAGGTGGCCTTTTCCTTTAGTGATAGTCTCAGACTGTTTTGTCACCTTGTCCCAGTGTCTGTCCCTAACTGTGCAAAGGGTTGCATCGTGCCTGAAGGATCCTTTTAAAGGATCACAGGGGGCAGAAGAAGAAGCCACACCCTTAAAAATGGCCGTTGGAGGAAAAGAACACCAGGCCTGTCAACAACTTACTCCAGAAAGTAGCTCTCACTCCCCGGGTGATGGGTTGGATTAGATCCATTGGTGACATTTTGAACACTGTTTCTGGAGTCCTGAGCAGAGAGGCATACTGAGACTGTGCCCTGCTTAGAAGAAGACGGTCCCTGACAGGCTTGTGAGTCTGACCCAGGAATGGGAAGGGAGAAGAAAGAGATCGTCTACGTATTTGCTGGCTTGGTACCAAATAGTGCTGGAAGCCTTCTTGCTTAGCCACTGTGGGGTTTCTTAGCTGCTACCTTCTGTCTCCTGCTTTTGTATTCTGCCCATGTACACTATCCTGGTTCCCATGGACCCCCACATTGCCTTCCAAACCCATCATGGATTATGTCAAACATCACACATTCTTCATATGCATCCAAACTCCCCCTCTACTCTTGGTTAGAGACCAGGGCTCCGGCAAACACTGAGGCTTCTCACTAACTCTGGAGGCTGAGGGCAGTTGATAGCTGAACTAAGAGTTGGTATACAGTGTGGGCCAAATCCAGCAAGCTGTTTCTGTAAATACAGTTTTATTGGAAACAGTTGTGCTCATCTTTGTGCATATTGCCCAAGGGTGTTTTGTGCTACAGTGACATCAGAAGCCATCATAGAGACTTCTTGCCAACAAAACCTGAAGTATTTACTCATCTTGACAAGATGACAACCGTTCAGGGCTCTGTCATTTACCTATGAGGTATTCAAATCTATGTGTACAAAAGAGGTTGACATGGAGCTCTCAGGTTTTCTTTAGTACTGGTAACATTTACCAGCCATCCCATGTAAAACTAGTCTAGTTTCTTTTCTGCTGTTAGGACAAATTCCATGATCAGAAGGAACTTCAGGAGAAAAGGGTTTGTTTGGCTTACACTTCCAGGTCATAGTTCATAATTGAAGGAAGTCAATCAGGAACTTAAAGCAGAAACTACAGAGGAATGGTGCTTGTCAGCTTGCTTTCCAACCTGTGTTTAGTTAACTTTCTTACAGAGCCTGGAACTGCCTGCCTTGCCTAAAGAATGGTGGTGCCCACAGTAGGCTGGGTCCTCTTACATCAATGAGCAAACAAGACAGTTGCTCTTTGGCATGCTCACAGCCAGTCTGATCTGGGAAAGCCCTTAATTGAGACCTCCCCCCCTCAGCTTACTCTACACGGTGTCAAGTTGATAGTTAAAGCTAACTGGAATGTAAACCACCTACTGGTGAATGAGGGCCTAACGGTCCAACTTAAGGAACACGGTGCTGAAGGGGAAGATCTTGTCATTCAGGCTGACAGAGAGTCTGGAGGTTGGGATTGGGCTGTGAAAGAGGAAGGGGCTAGCAGGGGTGGTGAGGGGTGGGGCGTTTTATAGGAAACTGCGCTACGACTATGCTGGACCACTTCTGTATAGCTTCATTGGTAAGAGCTACAGAGCAGGCAATTCCAGACAAAGCCACTGGCTTTCCAGGGTATGAGCCACATGAGAAACGGGATCGGACATGTGCAGATAGAGAGGCAAGAGGCACATGCAGGGGCTGAAGAGGCAACCGACCCTCCCTGCTTGCCAGGCCCAGTTCAGAACTTGTGTTGTAGAGGGACAGTGTCAGGGAAACCTCAATACAAGGAATTTGGGTTACAACATGACCTTCTTACTTCATTCCATTCCACTTCCCAACCTTTAGAGTCCTGGCTTAGACATCTATCCTTTAGGACGTGTATTGAGATGTTGTTGCTATGTCCACAACACCCGCTGCATCTGGGAATATCTTCCTCCTCTGACCCTTCTTCTCATCATGAGCCAAGATCTCAGTATGTAGTCCAGGCTAGCCTCAAACTGAGGATCCTCTCACCTCATCCTCTGTTATGCTAGGATCATATGCCTACACCATCATACCTGACTCATCCGCTTCTCACAGCTTAATATATCTTATTTTCGTTGTTATAAATTCTGTATTTAATTTTTTGTGTGTGCCTGCACACGTGTGCTGAGTCATGTATGTGGAGGTCAGAGGACAATTGTAACAGGCTGTCTTTTGGGTCACCAACCAGCTCCCAAATCATGACACAGAGACTTCTTATTCCTTATGAATGTTCAGCCTTATTTTACACTTGTTCCACTAGCTCTTATAACTTAAATAAACCTGTTTCTTTTCATCTACATTTTTCCCCGGGTCTTTTTACCTTTCTTTCATTCTGTACAGTCTACCCTGTGTCTGTCTGGTAGCTACCTGGCTAACTGGCCCTGAATGTCTCCTCTCTTTCTCCCTCATTGTGCCATCCCCTCTCTTTTTTCCTCCTACTTATTCTCTCTGTCCTCCAGCCCAGCTTATCCCTCTACTGCCTAGCTATTGGCCATCCAGAGTTTTATTAGACCAATCAGGTATCTTAGGCAGGCAAAGCAACACATCTTTACATGTTAAACAAATGCAACACATCTTTGCATTGTTAAACAAATATTCCACAACAGTCAACTCTTGGGACTTAGTTCTCTCCTTCTATCACATAGTTCTGTTGATTGAACTCTGTAACAAGTCTTTCCACCAAGCCGCCCGAGCCCTGCTGCCATGTGGGCACTTTCCACCAGGCCTCCCAAGTTCTGTCTGCTGCCTCGTTAAGGTCCCAAGTAACACACAGACACTTAAGTATATTAGGTACAAATGCTGCTTGGCCAATGACTAGGAATTCTCATCTTCTAGCTCAGTCTTAATTATCATAAATCTATATATATTTTATAAGACTTACTGGATGCCAGTGGCAAGCATCCTGTCTTCCCAGGCTACATGGTGACATCAGAGCAGAGAGCAGGAGGAAGAGAGAATGGATGACTTCCTTTTTGTCCCTGCTTATATATGAGTCTGCCTGTTATTGTCACGTCCTGCCTATATCAGAAGACTTCTTTTTACTACATTTCCCAGAACCCTCCTCGACTCCTAGTCCTGCCTAACTTGCTGCCTCATTGCCCAAACAGTACTTTATTCAACAATCAATAAGATAAACAAACACAGAAGGACATTCCCCATCAGAACTCACATCTTTAGGCTTGTTGGTAAGTACCTTTGATGCTGAGCCATCTCACTAGCCCCACATAGAAGCTTCCCAAGGCAGATTTTGGATTCCTTAAGCTATCATGTATGCAGTGGCTCTTCCTCTCTTTTTAAACCAAGTACTTACCACATGAGTTCATAACTGTGGAGGATGTTAGATGGTCAGCAATTCTTGATACTTCCTCCCAATCTGGGTTAACTCCCCTCACAAGACATTTCACAAAGCTAGTCTTACAGCCAGAACCCAGCAAAGTGATTTTCTTTGCATACTTCAAAGGGATATTAATCAAATCCTCTTTTAATTACATACACTAGAACACCACGATATTAAATCACAGGAAATTAAATTCTGTTGTGTGTGTAAGAGGCAGGCATGCTGAGAAGCAGCAAGTGGGGGTGCTAACCCATCACCCCTCTTCCAGGCTTTGATTACTACTTTGGAATCCCGTATAGCCATGACATGGGCTGCACAGACACACCCGGCTACAACTACCCTCCCTGTCCAGCATGTCCACAGAGCGATGGCCTATGGAGGTAAGACCGTTGGAAGCATTGACTGTGGGCTTTAAGTCAAAGTGGAGACATGAGTTCTAGAATAAGTGAACGAGATAGACATGGACAGTTGAGACAGCACGGGAGATAAAGAATACATCCAGGGCAAAGGGTTTTTTTTTTTTTTAATTTATTCTCCAATGCAAGGATGAGAACAACAATTTTTTTTATGTTGGAATTTTCCAGAATCTCTGAATTGTTTAGCTCACCTGGGGAGAGCATGGTGCCTGCCAAGATCTCACACAGGTGGAGCCTCCCTCCTCTGCTTGCTGGCTTTGCTCCTAGACTACATGCTATTATTTCCCCAGCCCAGACTTGGGACATAGACACACACACACACACACA